GGAGAGAAGCCAAAAGCTTTTTTTCCCCCTAACTGAAATTATGCCTTTTAAATTCAAATATAATTCGAATATTGATAATATTTAAGTACAAAATTCGAATTTAGTTTTTCAGCCATTTTGCGAGCCCTATTACGGTATAGGCATGAAATTATTTCAAGTTACTGAAATATTCAAACCGACTCTGCTACAATTCCTGTTTCTGTGGCAACACAGGCCATCCTAATTGGAACTTTTTAGGACTGTATAACTCATTGCAAATTTGGCAAATGGATGTTTCCCTCTTAAAAAAATAGCCTACAGCTGAAATCACGCTGATGTCTGAGGTCCATGAATCTAGAAGTAGAAAGCTAAGGTAAATCACTACAAACCTATGATCATGAACCATGTTCTGAATTGTCTGTAACAGTTCACACTGCAGGCCTAGTGAGGGTTAATGCATCTCAATGATAAATGAGGCAATGTCTGTTCTGAGCAGGATGGAAGCAGCTGTCAGCAGAGCTGTTTATCTGTCCCTTTCCCCACTCAGGACTCTCACTGTCTCCCACGCGTATAACTGCACAAGCCATCAAACAGGCACGGCAGCAATTATAATGGGAGTGTGCATACATCCAATTGCACACAATACAGAAATATATAAAACTGGTCTTAACACTAACATTACAATAAAAGCCTGTCTACCTTTACTAGTTTGTGCATTTATACATCAGCTATAATTTAACTGTCAGTTTGTTACAACGTAACATTTTACCTAAAAATACAAAGACATCAAAAAAATAAAGACCCCAGCATCTGTGAAACAGGGTCCTCACCATGCTTGTAGCATAGTTCTCCAGATAAATGGACAGCGCAGCCTCTACAGCGCCACCTCCTGGTACCACAGACTTGGACTCCAGCACCCTCTTCACCACACACAGGGCATCATGCAGCGAGCGCTCCATTTCATCACACATGAAATCATTCGCCCCACGCAAGACGAGAGAGGCAGATGTGCGTGCCTTTGTGCTGAGAGACAGAGAAAACGGCATTAAAAAAAATACTAAAACGTGATTTTCAAATGTGTTTCCAATGGAAAACACTGCTCAAGGTCCCATGCAGTTCACAGCAATAGCAGCAGTATTATTTTTCCGAATGCAAGTCGTTTTTTCAAAATCATTTTTTATCAGTTGTTGGCAAATTAGATGAAATCAGTTCAAATCATACAGAACTGTTTTCTCTCTCCTCATGTTTAACACGGTTTGTACTTCTTAGGCAAGGTAATCACGTTTATTTGTATAGCACATTTCCCCACACACCGGTAGAGTTTCGCTTTAAATTTGTTTAGGCTTGATGTTTTAAGTGTTAACTCGTTTTTCATCCTTTTTTTCCTTCTGTATACAAATACATTTGAAGGATTTTTGTGGAGCAAGGGGAGCATATCAAAATACATGATGCTAGCATATTTTATGATTCTTAGCGTATTTTACGTTTCTAAATGTAATAAAATACTTTAAACAAATATTTGTTTTTCTCTCACCAATGAAATTTTGACCATGTGCAACTTACTTTCCAGAAAACACAGTAGATAATGTGTTTAATGTCTCCTCTTTAACATGAGACATACAGATTATTCAGAAAAATGCAGGATTTTGGGTGCGTATGAGCTCTGAAGCGGTCAATCAAAGTATGAGGTAGAGTGATTAAAAGGAACCAGAGCTGATTTAATGAGCCAGTTTCATTATACAGGCGGTGTGATGAGGCTTAATCTCTGGAGGATGTGATGTGCAGACATCCTAATCGCTGATCTTCAGAATGTAGGTAATATCAGGCATAAATTCGATCCTACAGGTTTTGTTGAGGGAAAAGGAAGATGCTCTCACTTCTTGATGAGGATGAGCTCGT